CGAGAGGCGGCTGGGGCTGCATTTCCATGGAAACCAGGCCAGCCAGCTTTAAGGTTAGCATCCAGAAAACCTATGTCAAGAGAACACAAACCAGACGACAGGCTCCGTGCCCTTCAGACCCGCTCTCGCCATGTGTATGTGTTATCCCACCCAGAGAGAGGACCGACACCTCACTGTTCCTCACGTCTTTCCATTGGGATACACTCCGAGTTTGACATGTGAGCATCAGCAGTAGGACTAGAAGCAAAGCTAGGCTCTGTCAGGTGCTGTCAATCACTCCTTTCAAACAAGGGAAAAGAAAAAGAAACGCCTGCCCACATAAACACTTGAATCACCACGTTCCGTTACCCAGAGCAGCCGTGTTTATTTTACTAACAAGGGGAGGTGCAAACCTGGCATCCACGGCAGAGAAAATCCACTGGTAGTGCAGTACAAAGGCAGAAAGATGAATTAACCTTTAAAAAAAAAAAACACCCAAAAAACTCAAATCCTAACCTAAAAAAAAACCCCTCCATTTCTAGAGAAATTAATATTTTTGGCTGATGTGTAGTAGATTCAACATCATTTTTTTTCAATAAACTTCTGTCAATTAGCCCGAGTCCTTTGCCTCTGCAAGAGTTCACAGGGGTGGTGATTAACTGACAGACTACAGAGCACTGACTTGATTAATTAACAATGATTAAATATAAGGAAGGGAGGGACAATCAGGCTATATTTTAACCTACAAACCTGGGATTTAAAGCTTGTGCTGAAAGAAAGGTTAAAGAACAACCTTTAAAGCTACGTTCACCAAAACCTCCTCCCACCACAAAAAGCAGTTAAGATACTGGGTGTTCTGGGAAAAGGAATCTCACAACACACATGCACGTCCACGAACATCAGAAACCCAGAACACAGAACTGGAGCTTTTAGCTGGACTCTTCTCATGGCAAAAAAGGCTTAATTTCCACGTAAATATACAGGATAGCCAGAAGAATCTCACGATCCAAGTACAATCTTCCGTACAGCACAAAGGATTTGGCTACCAGAAACACAGTTCCAGTTAACTTCTGAGCCTCTAAGGCTAGAGGATCGGCACGCTACACGAGATATTCCAAAAATATATCCTGCACTTATGGTTTCTTCGGTTGTCTGACAGACAACGCAGCACGGAAGAACACAGATGGGCATGTAGTACCCGGGCACACTCGTCTCGGCAAACACTGTGGTGCGCACGGAAGTCTCGGCAAAACATCAGTGAGATTACATGTTTGTTAAAAAAGAGGTCTCAGTTTTAGTACATGGTTAAATCCATGAGAGGAAGAAGAGATTCACTTACTTTATGACTCAGGGAATGCCAGAGAATTTGTTCGAAAGAAGTGGAAAATGAGGACTATGCGATCATCTGTTATTTAAA